AACGAAGACATTTTTCTTGTTTATTTTAACGTTGACATGGGTTAAGTGTGCTCTTTTTGTTATTTCATTTTGACCCTTTATTTTACAATCTTTTTCGCAAACTTATGATGGTGATGTAGTATTAATTTTTTTCATTGATTTTCGTTATTTTGTTTTTTATGTGTTTTTATTTCATATCATTTAGATATCTAAACCTTACATTAACATAATTTATAGCTTTTAATGTCGGAAAATTAGAAAGCTATAGAGTTCTTTGTTTGCTTTTAGACAGCATTAGATTTATTTTCGCAATTTTACTATGAAGGTTTTATTACAAAAATCTCACAATGCTTTGAGACACGCTGCTTATATTTAATAACATTTATACAGTAACTTTTCTAGCTTAAGAATAAAGAGTTAACTTTATTAATTTAATAACATTTGATGTTAAAATTTAAAAAAATTTTAATAATTAAAATTGCAACGAACCGAAAGTTCTTGTTGCTTTTAAAGCTTTCTGAATAGAGCTTTAAAGTCTGTGTTGCATCGAATAAAATAATATTATTAAAACCTGATCGACAAGTTTTGGACTTTTCAATTAACAACAGATACGTGATTCTCAATAATATCTTTATAAAAGAAATATACACTTTTACTTATCTGTCCATGTAGCTATGTCTTCTGGCTTTTTCTTTCTCTCTCTCTCTCTCTCATACCGCTCTTTATCTTCTGGCTAATATTACAAATTGTAAAAGTTATACTGTTAAGAACAAGAAGTTTTTTTTTTGTTCATCAATGAGAGAAGTATATATTATGTTGTAATGCATACACAAAGTTCGCATCTCTATACCATTTTATATTGTATATAAAAAAAACTTTTCCTATCTATTTCCTATATTTATAAATTTTTTACATATACTGTAAGAGAACAGTTTAGTAAAATAAAAACTTTCTTAGTAGTAATGAATTCACCACTTTGGTGTTTTTGGATAACACTTGTTTATTATTGAGAAAATACAAAAAAAAATTAACAACAGGCATTTGTGCTGTCTCTATTGTAAGCATTTTATTCGGTACATGTGTACATATATTAAAATCTTATGAAATATACCAAAAAGAAGAAAAAAATTTCCGTAACACATTGAGTAAATGAAACCTTAGCTTTTTGTTATTTCACAGAGACAATTTAATTAAATTTTAGCAGTAAAGCATGTGAATGAAAAACTTTACATTTCATACATTCTGATAAGAAAGAAAGGAGAAAATTATGAAGTTAAACAGAGCATGGAGTAAATACGACTAGACTATGAGAAAAAAGGGAGAATGGTGGCATTTTTCCATGCAGCAAGAACTCATTTCAAATGTGCAATTTAAATGGAAAATCCTACATATGCTTCGTACTCAATACCCCTTGCTGTTTTGCATGCAAAGTTTTCTTTTCACATACATTACCTTGGCAAATGGATTGCAATGAAATTTTAATTCCTATGCAGAGTTTGCGAAGATTACATTTTAATGTGTTATGCTTACCAGTTCTCTTTATCCTCTTTGTGCTTATCATAGCCAAACAAGCAATCATATAAATCCTCTAGTCTCACTAGTACCGTTATTCAAAATTTTATTATGATTCTCTTTTTGTCAAATTCTATTCATTTTTGAAATAGTACAGTTGCTATTAAAACTAAACTGGATTTGTGCCATAAATTAAATTGAAAAAAAAAACAACTCTGCAAAAATGAGAATTACTTAAAGCTTTCCTATGCAGTTTTTTAAAAAGCAATTAAACATTGTAAAAAATTTTATAGTCTTTTGGAACGATATGGTTTTAAATAGTAAAAAAAGTTGTAAAAACACTCGCAATTTGAATTAGTCGTTGTTCAAAGCATTTTAGCTACGTGTTATGGCTTTTTGATTTAAACACAATACGAAGAACAATGAGGAGAATTAGAGTAAAAAGAAAATACTGTACAAGCAAACACCTTAAAAGCAAATAAACATAGCCTTCCAAAATTTATTGTCAGTCTTTACTGCAACACAATATTGATTTTTAGAAGTACTCATAGTGAGAGTGGGCAAATAAATGAAGCATAAATTTTTACTGAATAAATGAATTTTTATTACGAACAGTAAGTAGCCTTTGGTGGCATTCGAAGTTACATCAAACTATAGCAAGGGCCAATTGCGTGCCTTCATTCAATAGAATGTGTGAGAGGTTAAATCGAAGAAAAGAAAAATTAGTCATTTCATATAATGAAGCGTATAAAATATTTATTATCTAAATGCATATTTTATTTTATTTAATAAACATTTCATTTCATTATTATTAAGGCATACTATTTGTAAAAAAAAGATATTTATAAGGTGAACTAATTCTCCGAAGATAAACATAAATATTTTCACATGAGAATCATTTTAAGAAGCATAAACACAACCATATCACCTGAAATTCTATCAATGTGAAACTTTACGGAAAAAAACATGTGTACATAAAAGTATGGCATGGAATTTTTTAAGTTTAAGTAACATGTGTACAAGTTCTCTTTGGGATATTCAATAGTAATAAAATAATTTCAATCATTAATTTTTTAAGTCATGTGAAAAAAACAATTTTTCAACTTTGTATAAAAATTATTTAAATAAAAAATAAGTTGAGTCAAATTTGGTGTATTTATTTTTCAAATCAGTATATGGCGCTACAAAGAAACAAACTAAAGTACGAAGAATTTTCTCACCAAGTAATAATATTAAAAAATTCATAAAGGAATTTGTTTAAAAACATTTTTGTTGGATTGTTTAAAAACTTTTCATATTTACAATCCCGAGCGGCACAAAGGCTCCATTTGCCTTCCATATGGAAGCTATACGGAGCCTCCATGTTCCACCCTCCATTTGAAAATCTTCCGAAAACCTTACTATCATGGAACTTTGACGGAGCCAAAGCTCCGAAAATCCTCCGTGGGACGTGCATTTATTAACACCAAATGGAAGTCATTTGAGAGGTTTTGATGGAGGATGGAGGATCCATTTGTGGTAGTCAAACGGAGGTTTAATGGAAGTTTTTTTCAAAGGATTTTTGGTACGATTTTCCACGTGTTTTTCTATGTTTCGCAATTTTTATATCAAGATTTGTAGCTGTATTAGTGGACTTAATTAAAGTACACTAACACTATTGAAAAATTTACAACTTAATTTAATTAAGTCGCAACCACAGCAATTTCTAAGTCTCGATCACACGCGTGAGAAACATAAGAAATAATTAAAAATTTTCATACAAATTAAACGACCCCATATAATAGTGATTTCTGCATGCGCTTGTGAAGTATGTAATTTCATACAAAATCACAAAAAATTATCCTTTTTTGCTTTTTTAAAGCTTGAAATGAAGCAATATGATTCAGTAAAGCTTTTCGACAATATTTCAATCCATTACAGTAAGATCTGACCTCTGTCTTTTAAAAATTCAAAAGCACGAGTTTTTCGGTATTTGATTTAAGAAAAAGCGGAGTTCATATGGAATCCAAATGGAATCAATATGAAGGATGAAAAAATAAGCCTCAATTTACTTTCCACATAGTGGAGGTGGCTTTCATATGGATTCCATATGGAGACCACCCTCCACCTTGTGCCGCTCGGGTAATAAAGTCAGTTTAAAAGCATAAAGTTACATATTCTAATTTAATTAAATCAAGAAAAAAAAACAAAACTCTTAAAAAATAAGTCGAATATTTTATTGATTAAGCTCATAACTTATTTTTTTTAAACATTCTTCATAAACATTACCTTAAAGCAGAAACTTGGACAGATTTTTTTATAGTGCTTGTTAATCATAAATTTCCTATTAATCACTATAAAATTAAGAAGGAAAGGATTGCGATTTCCAACAAAATTACCACTCTAAGAATGATCTTATATGTTTGTACTTTTCGAGAATTTAAAGCCATTTTTACATAAAAAAGAATCCAAATGCTTGTAAAGAGATTTTATTTCACATAAATTCCTCCCAAAACAGCTTTTAAAAACAAGAATGAGAGAAAATGAAGTATTCTATCCAAAGAAAAATGTGTAACGTACGTAAAAGTTTTATGAAGCAAAAAAATCGATAACAGGCTTTATTGTGCAGAAATTTTCTTTTCCTAACGATGAATATGAATGAAATACGGAGCCATCAAGAGAAGATATAAAAATTGCATTCACATGCCGATAAATAAATATTGCATGTGATAGCTTGGTTAGAAAATTCATGATGCTCGTTGACAGTCCCACGTGTAAATGTTTTTGTTAAATAAAAACATGTTTCTTTATTTTTTTCTCTCTCAAACTTAATGTCACATGTCATTTATTTTTTTACTCTCTAGCAAGAAAGAATAGAATGAAAATGAAAAGGATGAATATATAACAAGTGAGAAAGATTGAACAACAGATTTAGAAATGAGCATTGGGATTTCAATATAAAGAATGTAATATGATATAAATGAGTTTTTCTAAAAAAGGAGTGAAAGAAGTACACAATTATTATTAACATTTTTATCTTATCTTTCCTCAATTTGAGATATTTTTAAATAGTATTTTTAGATGAATTTCTTTAAAATTAGATTTATTTAAGTTTAAAAATGAGAGATTTTTGAAATCGTTTTATTTTTATTCGAAGTTTTTAATCACAAATATACATTCATGAATAATTTCTGTTTAATCTCTCATTGAACTCACAACGAACTATAAGTAAGTCATTTGATTTTATTGCTCTGAACCTGACTTATTAAGTATTTTTAAATTTAATGCGCAGTCAAAGCAGTACTTTTAAAGCAAAAATTCAAAAATATTCTACTAAAATTGAAGATTTATTAAAAAATAAGATATGGATTGAAATCATTTAATTAATTGACTAAGCAAGTTTTCTGTCAGTACAGGAAACTGAGAAAAATAAACATTTCCAATAACCTAATGAAATATAAAAACAGAAGCATTTAAAAAATGTAAAACCAATTAATAATTTCAATATATTCCGTATACGTTTATTTTAGATTGACGAGAAAGCTTGGAACACAGCACAATAAGCGAAAAGCTTTTAATACTCTTCTGGTATTAGTGATATGAGGCATAAACCTACTTCATTCCATCATTGTTGACAATTAGTGAGTATAAATTTTCTTAAAAGATTTTTCGCTAATTTTACTAATCGTTGATGCATAAGTTCAAAAGTTATTGTGCATTTAAGCATTTCTATTTGCTTTAAAAACTGAAAACAATAAAAACGAACGGTTAAAAATAGAAGAATACTTTTTCAAGATAGATGTAAGGAGAGAAATTCAATTTCAAAGTTATACTTGGCCTACGGTTTCTTTAAGATCATTTTTGTTTTTCCTATCAAGATATCGCATCTTTCTATTTGGCTGCTTAAATAAATTCTTCTCTCTGTCACGCACAAATATTTTTGGAACTCGTAGACTTGTCCATAAAAAACAGTTGTTGAGAAAGTGATGACGCATTCAGATTTTTTTGCGAAAGATTTATTGGAATATTTCATTTCTTTGTCTTTTGTTATTTTTATCATCAATAAAAGAGAGGAAGGAATGAAATAAAAAAGCTCGCTTTTACGTCATTCCTTCACAAAGCTCTAAAGTGTTTAGTATACACAACAATGCGCATACTTAGAGCATAAATTCTTCATTATACTCCTTTATCTCATTCATACTACAACATATCAATTGTGATATTTTTAGAATTATGCTGATTAGATTGTTTTTCTTCTGCGTGTGAATGTTTATGATTGCCACACGCTATGTTACAAATGAGACAGACCATTAATAAACATAACAGTTCCGCTTTCATCCTCATCTTCTTTAATAGACTTATTAATAGAAAAGTTGAATATTTGTTTGTTGTTACATTTTTTAAAGATAGACTGAGGCAATTACAGTAATTGCTAGAAAACTTTCAGATATGTTTTTTGTCGATATTAGAAAATTTTGAATTCACAAAATGAGTATTAAATTGTATTTCATTTTTACTAAACCTACTATTTTAAAGTAATTTATATTTCTCTCTTTGTTCTCATTTCATTTATAGATTTCTCCAAACCATGGAGATGGTTCTTTTCGAAAAAGGTACTTCTGCATTCAGAGCCTTTTTTAAACGTCCACAAAAGCACCGACACATAGTACTATGTTATATAGGTTTATATACAATTTTACAATTACAACTAGTGAGTGCTCGACATCATGATTTAGGGAAATTATTAGCCGTCAGTAAAGATAATAACCATAATGATAATAATAATAATTTCAATGAAAATGAGTTAAATAGTTTACATCTGCAACAGCCATTAACGAATAATAATGCTCAAATTAACCATAGTCGTGAGAATGAAGATCTAGTGAAGCACCAGCAAGATCCACAACAAACAATACTCAAACAGCCAATACTAGGACAAAAAATTACACAGCAAACACCAGGATCTGATATCGGTCCAAGTGGTGCTGTACTTTCAAAGGATGATGGCAAGTATTTTAGTTTCAATGTTACTCCAAAATGCTTTTTACTCTAATCGCACTGATGACCTTTTTTAATTTTTTGTTATCCACCTCTTTTTGATTTTTTCTGCAATTTTGTTTTAATTTTCTTTGAAAAAAATTAATTAATTTTTCGTTTTATTTGCAATACTGCACAAAAGCTATAAAATATTTTATGTATGCAACTATTAATATAAAAATTAAGAGCATAATCTCACAACAAAGACTCCTCTTAATTGCTTACGCATCAGTTACAGATACACAAATCAAAGAAACATAATATCGCTGGGAGAAAATAATTATTTGAACTGCCATATAATTAATTCCAAAATTATTTATTTTCCGATAATCATAAAGAAGATTACGATATAATTAATTTCATGTGAATATGTCTATGAGATTTAATCGATGACATTAATATTTCTGGTAAGGAAACTAAGTTTGTTTTAAATGTAATTCTTCAAGTAAACGACAAAATTTTCATATTAGTTCCTATATTAGGATAATTTCCTAAAATAATTCGAATATGTTCCTGCAGTTTGGTTTATTAGTAAACTTAGCAGCTTTACCTGACTGTCCTCTATTTTCTTGGCTGTTCTCTAGTTTTTGAGCAATATTTGCATATAGGATTTTCAATCCTGGTACTAAACTGTACTGAATCTCGGGATTGATCTCAGGATTACATACTCTTTAATCCCTGGATTGAAAACCTTAATTGCATATGTCATCCATAATTTTGCTCAAAAACAGGAAAAATGACAAAATTCATTAGAAAAGTTATCTTTTGGTCAATTTTGGTTGATTCAAAATAATATTTGATACTCAAAATTGTCTTCAAAATTAAAACCTGCCATGAACAAAAGCTTGTTAAACTATCAAATATAGTGAAAAACAGTCTGTCCTTAAGTATCTAATTATAACCTCAATAATAATAATGTGTGAAAGGCCCAGCCTTTCAGCTGGAGGCACTGCGATTCAATTTGTAGATAATCTATTGTACCATACCCTTTAGACCTACAGTTTATAGTGGAATCCGAACCACTTGCAATTATAACCTTTTTTCAGTTAAAAATAAAAGTCACTCCGTTAAGTAGCTTCATAAATACCTAATAATCAGTCAAAGCTGACTTAAAATATAAAATAAATACTTCCCTATAATTTAATATAATCCATTAAGAACAAGGAAGATGTTCATTCTTTGTTGGAACTTATTACACATTTCCGATGTATTTAATAATATATTAGCAATCCTTTATAAATATTTCTCAACCTCCCATATCTTCTCCTTATTTCATTTTGTATATTTTGATTGATAGACTTTTAATTAAACGCAAAATGGAAACTAGCATTTTAATTGTATGATTTAAAAGCATATTGCATAATCATACTCATGAATTTGGTTTCTATACACTGACATGTTACACTACAAAGCAAGCAATACTCAATTGTATATTTGAATGTATGTGCCAATATGTATAGAATGCAAACGTACCTTTTATGTACTTTAGATTTATTTTTCATTTGATTTTTCTGCAGCAATTTTATAACAATAATAAAACGAAAGAATTATTGATTTCTTTGTATATACAGCCATATAGAATGTGACAATTTTTTCCCTTCTTTGTTATCGAAATCAATACATAGTAACAGAGTCAATAATTTGTTTTCGTCTTATTATTAATGACTAAAATTAATGTACAAATTTTAATGCAAAACTTTATTTCGAAATTTAATGCACCGTAAAATGAATGATAATCACATCTACGCACTAGACTATGTATCACAAAAAAAAACTGTATATAAATAATATCAAATTGTGCTTAAAATGAAAATTTAAAAAGAAAAACTAAAAGGTTCAAATTAAATTACTGTAGAATATAATGTTAATCCAACTGCATGAAGTGGATATAAATATCATTCAGACAAAAGTTTGTTCTGAAATTTAAAATCAGAAAAAGCAATGTGAATGAGATTAAAGTTTAATCAAAATTATATCATGAAGGTCACATTGAGGTTTATTGAGTTGTCTAAACTACCAAACCCATAATGCGGACTTTTGTTGTTTCATTTTAGGCATGATTTGACAAAACATAGAAATTTAAAGTAACAACAGTGAATTAGTATGCAATTGATTGTAATTTAGAGGAAAAATGTATATAAATGCAAAAAATACAGCAAAAATGTGTTCATAAATGTGCAAATTTATGCATATGTATATACATTATGTTCACATTGTACACACAATTTAATACTTATATTGCAGCAGCACGAAGTAATGATAATTATTGATTTTTCACATTCACACCAAAAAATGAAAAGCTCGAATATTTTTTACCTATAATATATATAATATATATAAAAAAAGAAGCGAGCATTGAGCACACACCAAAAGAGCACACGCATAAAATCTATCTATTTTGCAAATTGAATTGATATGAAAAGTAGGATGTAGATAAAATTTAATATCAAAAAAATCTTGTTAAATGACGTTAACAGAAACGTGAAAAATTTAAGAATGAATGACGGATTATCTTTGCTTGTAAGAATTCATTCTCATCATCTCCTCTTTTTGCGAAATAAGATAAGATATGTATATAAAGAGTTTTTCAATATTTTGAGCACGAAATTTCGAAATCAAATGGTTGAAATTTGTAAATTAATTTTAAATTTTTCCTATTTTCTTCCTCTTTTTTCTTCTTCTTTGAATTTTGTGTTTTTCTTTGTATTTTTCCATTTTACTGGTTTATGATTTTCTTAACATTCTTGAAATACATTCCATTCCTGTGTTATTTTTTTTGGGGGAACCTCGTTTGTTTTTGAACTTACTTTTGTTGGTTCTTTCCCATACTTTTTGTTTATTACCAAAAAATATCTTTTTTGGATCTTTTGTTTGTTTTGCTCCTTTTTTTCTGTCTCCTTTTCTTTTCGTTTCCTCGTTAACTTTACAGATACATTTTTTACATTGGACGTTTATTTAGGTCACGGTGATGCAGTTCGTGTAGTTGATCCTGAATCAGGGAAATTGGAACGACAAAACGTTGAACATGAAATTTCACATGGATTAAGTTTAAATACACCTATCTTAGGTACTACGTCGACTTCAACGAGACGTCATACACGACGTGAATCCAAGGATGGTATGTTAATGTGTGATTTCTTTAAATTTCTCAATGTAACAAATTTTATTTCTTTCTAATTCTTATTTCGTTCTAATATTTTACTTTATTTTTATTGGTGCTTTATATAATAATAATAATAATAATAATAATGAAATGAAACAGATGGAGATGATAGTGATCCACTTATTGTAACGACAGATAAAGGTAAAGTACGTGGTTTAACTTTAACATCATCAACTGGTAGAAAGGTAGATGCCTGGTTAGGAATTCCGTATGCACAAGCGCCTGTTGGTGCATTGAGATTTAGACATCCACGTCCGGTTGAGAAATGGCAGGGAGTCTTTAACGCCACAAAACCACCAAATTCATGTGTTCAAATTGTCGATACAGTGTTTGGAGATTTTCCCGGGGCACTTATGTGGAACCCAAATACGGAACTCTCTGAAGATTGTCTCTACATTAATGTTGTGGTTCCCCGACCACGTCCTAAAAACTCAGTTGTAATGCTATGGATTTTCGGTGGTGGATTTTATTCTGGTACATCAACACTTGATGTTTATGATCATCGAACCTTAGCAGCAGAAGAGAATGTCATTGTCGTTTCGATGCAGTATCGAGTAGCTAGTTTAGGATTCCTTTATTTAGGAACACCAGATGCACCAGGAAATTCCGGTCTTTTTGATCAAAATCTCGCATTACGATGGGTTCGTGATAATATTCATCGATTTGGTGGAGATCCAAATAAAATTTGTATATTTGGAGAAAGTGCAGGTAAGAATTAATATAATAATCTTATTAAAAAAATCTAATAAAACAATTGCTATATAGGAGCTGTGAGTGTATCTATGCACTTATTATCACCATTATCAAGAGATTTATTCCAACGTGCAATCTTAGAAAGTGGTTCACCAACAGTCCCATGGGGTATTGTTACTCGAGAGGAAGCAACCCTAAGAGCATTAAGACTGGCGGAAGCAGTTTCATGTCCACACGACCGTAAAAAACTATCTGAGACTGTAGAATGTCTGCGAACAAAAGATCCAAAAGAATTGGTAGACAATGAATGGGGAACACTCGGAATTTGTGAATTTCCATTTGTGCCAGTTGTTGATGGTGCATTTCTTGATGAGACACCAATAAGATCGCTGGCAAGTGGACGATTTAAGAAAACAGACATTTTGACTGGCAGCAATAGCGAGGAGGGTTATTATTTTATATTATACTACCTTACGGAATTACTGAGGAAGGAAGAAGGCATAACAGTATCGCGAGAAGAATTTCTCCAAGCAGTACGTGAACTAAATCCATACGTGAACGGTGCTGCTCGGCAAGCAATCATTTTCGAGTACACTGATTGGAACGATCCAGATAATCCACATAGCAATCGTGATGCTCTTGACAAAATGGTTGGGGACTATCATTTCACATGCAATGTTAATGAATTTGCTCAACGTTACGCTGAAGAAGGCAATAATGTTTACATGTATTATTATACACATCGTAGTAAAAGCAATCCCTGGCCACGTTGGACTGGTGTCATGCACGGTGATGAAATAAGCTACGTTTTTGGAGAGCCTTTGAATCCGAAACTTGATTTTCTTGACGAAGAAAAGCAATTTAGTCGACGCATAATGCGATATTGGGCTAACTTTGCTAGAACCGGGTAAGATTTTCTTTTCATATTATTGAAGATACGACGAAAATAAGCAAAGAATAATCAGGAGAAGACTGTATAATGCTATGTCTATTTTTTCTTTCTTTTTTTTTTCATTTTCTTTCACCTTACTTACACAATCAATAAACGATTGAAATACAATTCATCACAATATATAGCAATCCTAATCCCGGCTTAATTGATGATTTGCCAGAATGGCCTATTCATACTGCACAAAGCAGACAATATTTAGAATTAAGTATGAATTCTTCACACATCGGACATGGTCCTCGCTTAAGACAATGTGCTTTTTGGAAAAAATATTTACCAGAATTGATAAGACAGACAAGTGAGTATAAAAAAAGTACAAATCAAGAACATTGTAATACTGTTACCAATAAAACATTAAATCTTTAGTTAACATTTTTGATCTATTATGATTTGTTTTAATCATCATATTTATAAATCATAACGACATGTATAATTCAATGAATTGTCAAACCATTTTTTTTTTCAGATCTCCAAGCAGAAACAACAACACCAGCTCCTGCCTGCAAGGGCAATGCTGCTTTCTTCAAATCACAATTATTAGTAATCATCACAATGATACTATTTATTAATCTAATGGATTGAGTCACTTTTCAAGTGCTTCAGTTAAAGCTACCAAAAACTATTTGCTAATTTAGCGTCATTTAGAAAGAAGAAAATGAATAAGAAAAAAAAATGAGTAAAACTAATTAAAATAAAAAGAAAGAAATGAAAACTAATGATGTATTTAAGTAAGTAATTAAATTTAATGATGATGATAATGAACGGTAATGCCAATTTTTTAAAAAGAAAAATTTTAATAGAATATGAAAAAATTCTAAAAAAGATTTAAATTCAACTTTTTAATTTTTATCAAAGTTAATTTTACATGAAGAACGCTAAAAAGATTGAGATGAAAAAGGGATGGTATTAAAACAGCAAGGAAGAAAAATAAAAGTGGAGTTTTAGTTTTAATAAAGTTAAATTTTTAAGGAAGAAAAGTAAAATTGAATTTACAATTTAAATTTAATTTTTTTTCATTAGGTTTAGATTTTACAGAGTTGTTGAATAGAATTGCGATTAATTTCGGCAACTGAACCACCTATCAACTCTACAGCTAGACACAATTCCAACCAAGATTGATGAATAGAAAGTGTAAAGTTTCATATTTGATTATTTTCTTTTTCTATGTTGATGCATGAGAGATCATATTGGTTCCAAAGTTTTTCTCCAAGGGAACAAAATTTATAACTATCGAAAAAGTATTTTTACCACAAAAAGTTTTTTATTTTATTTTCTATGTTATTTTTAACTTTATATTCTTTGAAGAAAAAAAAAACTTTATGGTCTGTTTTCTCAATATTTTGTTTGATGTTGCGAAAAAAAAGACGAAACTAGAAACAAACTTTTAGAAAATTGTCATGTAAATTCATAATACATATCATCCAATAGACAGCCTAAAAATAATTTATTGTCAAAGAAAAAAAAAATAGTAGAGATTGTAAAAATCAATGTCTATTGGACACACTAGTAAAGATAACTCCCTTTACTAGAAAACTGAATATATAAAAAAAGATATAATGAAAAAAGTCCTCGCCTTCTCCCATGACTATCATTTATTATTTGCCATGAAGTCATTATTTTCTCTTTCTTTATATGGGAAAATATGAAATACAAACTTAATACAACTATTCTTTTCCAATATCTTAAATACAACTTTTTCCTTCATTTCTATATTACCCAATTTTATTTTCTATTAATAATCAATAAAAATCAATAAAATATTCTAAAAAAATCTACCAAAGGAAAACTTTAATAATTTATAATGTTTACATACTCAAACATTATTAATTGAATTAATATAGAATATGTGATCACAGCATCATCATTTACTTTCAATAAAATCGCATAATTATGATTGTTCATCTAAGAATTAAAATTAATTAATTATGCCAGATATAAGAACAAAAAAAAATTAAAGTGAATTTAGGAACGATTTTTTTAAAAACATTAAAAATAATGATACAAAAAAATGTCGTATGATACATTAGCATTGGTAATAAGATGAAAAAGAAAGAAAAATATTATGTCATTATAGAATCTTTGCTGCCTTAAATATAACAAAAATACACGATTGACTACTACATTTGAAAGCTTTTATTACGGCTAAAATTATAAATGGTGTTCTCTAAAATTCACAAAAAAAAACTACACTAACAGCAAAAATGGTTCTAAGAACATGAATTTCTTTAACTAATGGAGGGATCTCAATTTGAAATTACTCATCATTTTGTTGATAATGGTAATGTTCAATTTTTTTTCCACAAATTTACTTTAAATTGCGTAACGAAGCTCTAATACAAGTTAGCAGTTCCTTTTTATTTCAAATTGAGTTCCCTATATATTTAAAATATTATGTTTTTTCTTAATACGAAACAATAAATCGATCTAGTTTTTAAAAATTCTAAAAATGTCATAAACCTGTTCTGTTGATTAGAAGTTTAAGTTGATTTTATGGAAAAACCCTAAATCTAACTTCAAGTTTAAAGAGTTTTTGGTGGAACAGTTTTAGGAATTTTTGATCAACAAGATCACAAAATTTCCGAACAGTTTAAATATTCGTAGAATGAGTTCTATAATAAAAGAACTCTGTGCCTAATCTATCTGATTGAGTTTACAAATTTATTTTAGATATTTATGACTTTAAGTAGTCACTTTTGTAATTTATTCTCATTTATTGCATTTATTGAATTTATTTATTTATGCTTTAAATTTATTTCATTAATATTGAATTTGAAGTATTATCCTGTCTAAGACTAATGGAATCTTTTTTCTTGCGTATGGCCATGATGAGATGTCATAAAGAATAAAGTAAAACATAATTTTGAAAAATAATGATTAAATTTAATGCAGTTAATAAATAAAGCATAATTAAATAGTAATTTAGCAAATAAAGAAGCTTTTTTATGAAAAGAGAAAAAAATGAAAAACAAAATTGAATAAAAATGACTTTTGATAACTTTTTCTTTGCATTGTCGTTAATCATAAGAGATATGCGTACAAAAGTAAGAGAAATTTAAAAAAAAATATTAGTATAATTTCAAATATGTATGAGTCGAGTCCAATAAAACTCCCTCCTAAAATGATGAATCTAAAATTCCTAAAGAACTTAATTCTGGAAATTTAATAATAATTGATTGCAAAAGACAATAGTTATTAAAATGCATTGATCTTGTCAAATCTGAATGAGTTATAAAATTTTATTAATTTACACCCTTTTAAGCATCAGTCATAAAGAACAAATTATTATTTGGCCAAATTTAAAGTAATAAGTTTTTAAGCATGTGCAATAGAAATAAATCAGAACTAAACACTTAATCTAGAATAAATGAAATGATGTTTCTATAGCACCAAAATATGGCTAAAAATTAATATTAAACAAAATTACGCTACATATCTTCAATTGGTGCAGACAGAAAAATATAATTCATTAAGTATTTACTAATAAGGCAGACAAAAATCTTTGCTATAAAATGTTTGTTCACTATAAATAAATTAATAATAATTGCATACATTGATTTCAGTTTGAAACGGCCTATTAAGGATTTAATCTTTTTTCTCAATTAGTTGATCTTTTCCGTATTTTACAAACGTTCCTATCTTATTAATTAAATTGAATTTATTTTTATTTGGAGTTTTCTTTTTATGATTAAAAAAATTGAAGTTTTCTTTAAAATTGCTAATTTCACTTTACTCCATCATAATTATATGTTCTGAAGTCTTAAATTAATTTTAACAATAACAGAACTTAATTCCTGCAAGTAATAAAATAATAATGATATTGACAAATTGAAATGCATATCAGTCTAAAATCATACTTCAATAGATACCAAATAATAATTAAATTTTGTAAAATGTAAACTTACAGTATATTAATAAAAAAAATCAGTAATTTCTAGTCATCCTTTAAAAACTCAATGAATAGAAAAACGGATGCCTACATAAGTATTTCAAAAGAATTTTGGTTCTTAAAAAATTATATTTAACATTAATTGATTTGAAATTAATGAAAGAATCTATACTTAGGTACTTGATTTAACATAGGTTTCAGTCTATACCCTATATTTTTGTTATCTTTGAATCAGATGTTAATTTTAGAAATGTTTAAAATTTTATTTTTTGTGGTTGAAATTTTATTATTACAAAAAGGAAACTTAACTAAGGTCAACTGAGTATAGTGATTACAAATCATTTTGATATATCCGAGTATTAATTCCCGGAGAATATGACTTGTTTAACTGTTTAAAATGAATTTCACAACATGCTACAGACGTTCTAGTCTTTGTAAGGATTCGAAGAAAAAATTATTCTTAATCTATTATTGCTTTAAAGTATTATTTAAAAATCAAAATGAAATTGATAAAAAAACCTTCATAACGAACCAACTTAGATTCTAAAAGCATCGAATCAATTAAGAAATCAAGTATGTGAGATTATAAGTTTAATATTGAAGAGAATCTAATAAATAAAAAAATAATATAAAAAGGATAAGAAATAAATTGTAATGCACGATATAAAAAAAGTAAATTTAAGATAAAAAGGTTACCAAAGATGATAAAGTTACCGTTTAGTAAATAATATTAAATTCTTACTTAGTTTTTGATTTGGAATATGTTGACATTAACTTGATTGTATAATAAAAAAAGTATGTAAAGAAAAGTCTATATAAATTATGTATCTCCTCATGAATGAAGATTAGGAAGAAGAAATATGTTATCTATTTTTCATTTGTACGAATATATTATATATGATATATATTTATGAAATTGAATATATTGATGATGAACGACATTATATGAGTCAAGTAATGTGTAAACAGTATGACACCACTTCTTAGAGCTTTTATATTAGAAGCTAATTTTATGTGTGCTAAACGAAGTTGTTTATTGTTGAGTATTTAATTATTGATTAATTATTTCATTTCATTTAAAAAAAATTATAAATTTCAATTTGAATAATGAAGAGAAATCTTGGAGAAATCCTTTTTAAAGAATCTGCATGATTAAATACTAGTACTAACAATAATAATGATAACATATGATACTTAACTATATGTACGCAAAAAAAAAGAAAATGAAGAATAGAAAAGTAATCATTAATAATTTTGCTATGTTAGCCTGTTAGCTTTGCCTAGTCTTGTTTTAGATTGTAGAGATGATTAATTAATAATATGCATCAATGAATGAATCTTTAATAGAGAATGTCAAATCTTCGAATGAGAAGAATCAACAATTTAAAAAAATCTTTTGAATAAATTAATGAAAAAGTCTCCCTAAATATACACCAAATCATAAGAACACGCTAAGTATGGGTTTATATAATGAATAATATTCATACACACAAGAACCTCTATTTTTTTCCTATTAAA